CGTGATGATTCTCTTGATAAAAAAAGGCCATGTCTGTCAGCATGGGATCCCAAAGGCAAAAGATGAAGAGTCGGAGCCTCATTTAGTAGTAATTTAAGCAAAAGAAACTTAATCTCCAGGGTAATCAGCACCTTCATGCTTCCTCAGGAGGCAATAACTCAGCAGCATCTAGGATAGGAGAACTTCCCCTCCCACATTTTAAAAACAGGAACATTGTGTTTCTGGTATTACAGGACATTTGATGCTGGGAAGGTACCAGCCAAGTGATGGGGGCGGTGGTAAGCTGCAGTGGACCAGCAGTTTTCCTGAAAGGTGCTCTTTCAATCTGAGTACATGAACATAAGAAATTTTAAAAAAATTTGGGCAAAGTGCATCATGCATTTCCCTGGTGCAAAATTAGGCCTTCTTCAGAGACAGCAGGGAATAAAGACGGCATTCTCAATTTCCACCCTCTTTAGAAAGCAGCATCCTTTCTGGTGGAGTCTTTAACAGAAAAATTTGGCTCAGAGCAGCCAAAGAATTGCATTGCCACATTCCCTGCTCAGAGGGTAAGAGGAGAAAGGATGTAAAGCTCTTCTCTCCCCTAAAAGAGAGGACTGGCTGCCATCAATCCACTTTAAGCCCTGGTTATATTATCATATAATACAGATATTTTTATGGTTCTTTTGCTGTGTTTTCATTGTATCTATATTGCGAATATTACTAGATCAGGTTGGTTGTCACCACGACCTATCCAAGAAGGACTGGGTTGGAAACCCCTGTCAGAATACCATTATTTGCAAGCAGTAAGCAGAGTCAGGCAAATGACTTGTTTATTTTGAAAAGATTTATTCAACAGTCTTAGTCTTAAGGCCTCATTACCAATGTCAGGAATTTAAGAACAGACAGTATGTCTTATTTTTCTAAATATGGGGCTACGTGCAAGGACAGCTATTCCACTTTACTATGCAAGTAAGTGTAAAATAGATTTAAAAATCAAAGTTTTGTTCAGCTGTTGCCATTTGAGAAGATTACAAAGTCCAAATAAAAAACACATTTCCCAGAGCAAACATTTCCAGCAGCCACCAGTATTGGTTATCCTGACTTCTGGAACATAAGATCTCAGGGCTATTTCTAAAAGACTGCACTCCAGGTTACTCACACTGCAAATTCAAATATTTCATGCTAATGTAAAAACCAGCCTACTCTGTCTTACATCGGACACCAAGAACAAAAGCGGCTGAAGCCCATGGTCACCTCCAACGCCAGAAGTGTACCACTCCAGTTTACAGCCTCATCACTTAACAGTGAATTGTCACCAGTACAAAATCCATCTTTATCCTTTCCTGCAAATTCCTCACAGATTTTTGCCACTAGAGAATCATAGCTTTAGAAGAAGGCAGAAGTCAGGAGTTAATTTGCCTTCTCCATCCAAATTTTATGAATCTGACTTAATGGGGACAAAAAAAAAATCTCAGCCCTTTATATATTTGTATTTATCACCAAGACTAAACCTAGAGAGATCTATACAAATACACCGATCCCACTTCCAGCTGCACACAATTGTGCTATGCCTGAGAAAAATTAGCAAATTACTCTGAAGACAAGCAGGAGCAAGCCACCATGGTCTCTAGATTCATCACCAAATAACAGCCTAACCAGTCTTCTTTTGCTAATGTGTGTCAGAGCCTGCAAAAGACAGTAAATACTGACTAAGGGCTGTTCACCCTAGCAACAGAAAGGTTCACAAAGCTTTATAGCTTCTAGTATAGCTAAAAACCACCCAGCTAGAATGACTGCGGTCTCAATTTCCCTCCCCCCCCCCCAACCTGTACCACTTCTTTCTCTTATTTAGGGATTATTTAATAATTCCATATTCTTTCTGGCAGTTTTCCTCTCCTTTCATTCACAGAACAAAGGTAATGACAAGACAATAAAGATCCCTTTCTGCCTACACATTTCACTAAGAGGGAAAGCTAATGAACACAGTAACACTACTTGAGCCATGAGAACGGCTCGCTTTATTAGCCAGTGTAGTGCAGCCTTTAATTTATAATTTAGGATAGTTACTATAACAGGAACACTAGTTGCCCCAAACAGGATCTTTCGAACTTGTTTATAACGCTATACCAAGAAGAAGGAAGGAGGGGGGGGAAAAAAAAAAAAAAAAAAAAGAGAAACTTCTTTCATGCTAACGATTGAACTCATGTTGTTAAAGTGGTGGATTGCACTCATCTGGAATAACAGGATTAGCAAACGCATTTCATTATCTTTCCCAGTCAGGTGTGTTTTCCACAATGCTTTCAAATTAGCACAGGAGAGCTCTGCCTGGGTTGCAGACATTGGTTAAGGGAACTCTTAAATTCAGTTGAACAAAACGCCAACGCTCTTTCTGCTTAGTAGAGAAGAAACAGGTCAAACATAGATTTATGTTTTTGTTACAGTTGCACTTATTTTATAAAATCTCAAGACATAAGCCCAACAGTTTGGCCTCACATGCGTAAGAACACTTTCCACAGCTTGTCTAACTCCAGAGGAGAGGGCTAGGCGCTCAGCAACCTTTGTTATTTTAAGTTACAACAGGGCACATATACATTCAGGGTTTGGTTTGGTTTTTTTTTTTTTACTACAGGATTAAGCTGCTAAGTGCCTTGGCTTTCAGACTGGTTTTCTTCCCTAAGCCCCATTCCCTCCCCTCTCAGCAAAGTAACCTTTTCAACACCTTGCTTAATAAAGTGCAGTACAAGCACAATGTAAGTTCTCTTACTACACCTGCAAGCTTCAAAGACTTCTGGTTGCCTGAAAATTAGAGGTGAACGAGTTATGCCCACTTCTGCATATGTTGATGTTGCTGTACCACCCTGTCAAAGACAGGAGCTCCTTTCATGGGGAGTTACTCTCCCACTGCAAACACTGCTTTATCACACCCATCCAAGCTCTTTCTGTTAGCTTCTCCACTTCCTTCCACTTTTGGTTTGTTTTTATCACCTGTTGCCAGAGTAGTGCTGACCTAGCCAAGGACAGCAGCACAGACATAGCTCCAATGGACCACGCCAGTGGTAATGGAAAACACCCACTGAAGCTTCCTACAAGAAATCTGCACAACAGACAGTGCAATATCCCCTCTACAAGCCATACGAAACTGAGGTGACTTCAGAGTCTAATATTAAAAAGTGAAAATGCCAATGTACATTCCACTGCTGCATCTTACTGAAGTCCTGACATCCAAGTGCAAGATAGGAAGTGATGCCAGTTTTAATTCAAAAACTGATCAGTTGACTTATCCATTCATCTTCACTTGTTTTGACAAGGACAGTTCATTTTTAGTGCAGAGATCAAAGTGTCCCTTTTCTATCCTGTTCTCATGTGCTAAGCTTAGTTTTTGGAGCCTATGGATGCAGCAGACATTCTTCATTAAAAAAAGTTTTGGCGCTTTGACATTTAAGTCTCTCAGAGCTGAATGTGGTGGTCTTTTGGGGTTGTTGGGTTTGGGTTTTTTTTTGGGGAGCGCGGGGGGGGCAGGGAGCAGGTGTTGAAATATCCAGTTATAACTACAATTTGGAAAATAACAAGGACACTAAAAATAAGAACCTGAAAACTACAGTGACTGATTCTCCTTTTTAGCTATACAAAATAAGCATTGCCATTCCTTTAAGGACAACACAAACCATTCTTCATTGACTTAAACTCCAGTTGCTCACAAACAATTCCATCTAAAGAAACTGCGAGGATGGTATTAGGAAAATGTTGACCACGTGCATGTAAACTCAGGAGGACAAGTCTGGAATCATCCACCTTCCAGCATAAAGGAAGTTCCCTGATCCAATAGTAAGAATCATATCAATCATTACTATTTTACTACCAATTATTGAATATCTAAGTTGCATGCACTGCTTGCGACAATAGTTTTTAGTAGAGACTTTAACTAAGGCTTTTTTATATGTGCTGAAAATAATTTTAAATATTTACCTATTGCTCTTTATTTTGTGAAGATTAAACTTCAAGTTGGATTTATACTATTGAAACAATTTGTCTTTATTTTCCCATTTACTGACACAATTGACAGAAAGATGCTGAAACACTAGGTTATTGATTTTTGGCAGTGTCTCTCTGTGTTCACACCTGTAATCAGAGAACCAACAGCTGAATGACTATCCTCATTCCAGGAAAATTAATTTGGCAAGCCAAGCAAGGAGTTTGATAAAAACAATTTCACACAAAATCAGTTCAATAAACTGTTGCCCTAATTAACACTAGCTTGGGTTTTCTGAACAAGCTCCAACACAGAAGTTCAGCACGATGCCAGCAGAGTTATATAAAGGCTGAGCCTGCCTTTTCTCTGTGTGTAATGCATAAAGTAATTATTAATAAAGTGTCAATGTGTTTTACACACGGATTATGTACCGTATCTGAGAACGCGAGTCACCTTTCTCCCACCAAAGACTGTCTGGAATATGGCTCCAACCTGTTCCTTTACAAAAGGAAAAATATTGACACCTCCACTTTACACATGGGGAAACTGAGGTACAGCAAGGTTAGTGGTCTGCTGTTTCAAAGGGAGTGTCAAACACCTGCAGCAAACAAGGATTTTAACAGGATCTGGAGGAAGCTCAGCACTTTTAAAAAACAAGCCCAGAAGACACCTTGTCAAAAAGGTTTTCACACTTCCACCATGCAGTGCTCTGGCCACCCAACGATGCCACTCAGCTACTTCCACTTACAAGCTAATACTCTGCTTCACTGCACATTGGACATTCTTCCAAACAAAGAGCTTTTATCTTTTTTTTTTTATTATTATTTTCTCCCTGGTTTCCCAGCGCTGGCCTGTCCCCTCGAGTGCCGTGGGTGTCTTTGGAGCAGAGAGGACCAGGCTGGCTTGCAGGGCTCCCCCACTCCTTCACAACCGAGCAGGAAACGCTGGTGGCAAGCAGCCTGGGGAAGGGGGGAGGGGGGTCAGAAGACAAAAGCGGTGCTTCCAAATCCTAATTACAGTTAGCAGGGATTAAGTAAGAGTCACTAACCTCTTCAGCTCACAGAGGTGAAACGTGATCCCGGTTAATGCTCCTTCACTCCCCGCAGCTCCTTCTTATACAACACCCTGCAGCTCCCGCATATATCAACGCACTGCTCGCCCTGTTGCTATCATTGCAGCAACACCCCCTTGGCCAGGAATCCAATAAGGACACTATAGGGGCGGGCTATAGCCAGAAGCAGCTGCAGCTGGGCTGGTGCAGGCACCGAGGCTGCGAGTTTTTTGCCTAGAAAACACCCAGAAAGCTGCAGATGGCCAGCGAGGGAGCCGAGGCTGCCCTGGGGACCTGTGCAAGATGCTGGTTAAGCCCGCGCCGTGGTCACCCCAGCCTGGCGCTTACCCCAGCCAGGCAATGGCTGGGGGTCACGCAATGGCTTGCAGGCGCTGGTCATCAGCAGTACTCGTGTCAGCCCAGCTGCATCCACGGGGTTGACGCTTCAGGCTGAGCCCATGCTCAGGAAATCGGGAGTTTCAGCCTTGCCAAGCAAAAAATAAATCATTCAGTGCCTGGCTTCCCCCAAGCAGGCAGCCTACAGAAATCAGCCAGTCACTGGGACAGCCCAGGACAGGCGTTACACAAGACTATTTGTCTCCCTTCCTACATGCATTGCTTCCTGGCCCACAAACGCACTGTGCTTAAGTACTAGCTTTTCCTTGGAGCGCCACTTTTTACCCAGGTCTTGCTCCCAGCTTCTTTACTTGCAGTTTCTTATCTACATGCCGCGGGACTTGGAGCCGTTTCATTCAGGGCTTGGAAGATTAAAACCTGGGAGGGTGCAGCTATTTTCTGCCAGGCTAGTAGTTCCTGCAAGAAACAGCATGTGAAATGAGGATGGTCTGAATTCCAAAGATCATTCTATACTAGGCTGATGTTGGGCATTCACAGACTATGTATGAATAGTCTGTGGCACCTAAAACTGTGCCACATCAGGACTACAGGTACAAAGGATCAAATTCTGTACTCAGTCACCTCAGATGTAAAGTAGAAATAACTCTGGAGAAATCAGTAACTTTTTTTTGCACCCGAGTTTGTTCAATTCAATCTGTTTCTGGAAAATCTTGGGGCATGCTATGTCTAAGCAGTAATACCATAACTAGTCTGTCTTCTTCCTATAAAACTTTAAAAAAAAATCAATGCAGCTCTAAATTCCTTAAATTCTTTATTCTGAAATTCTGCAGGTTGGGATTGTTAAGAGTGATACTGCCTTCTTTCCAACTTCTCCCACTCATTTCTTCTGACCAGTTAACTTCCTCAACTAGCAAGACTTCAGGAACTCACTTGGCCTCCTCCCAGCTACATTTGCTTTTCCAGAGTCACATTTTCTGAGCCAGTTATGGAGTTTTAACTAGTGCAAAACTTCTGTGGTCTAACATAACTTCATCTGAACACGGGGTTTACATTGATACTACTCTGCTAGGCGTTTCAAATACATCACAGGATGTTTCAAAATTCTTTCCCCTCTCAAACATGTTGTATTACCACAGGCTAAAGCACAGATCTACATATCAGCAGCTCTAATTACAGTCGTTACACAACTGCAGTAAGGAGGAGTTCCAGAGAGTAACTGAAGAATTACATACAAGACAAACTAGCAAGAAGTTTAAAGTCCATCAAAGCATGAACGAAGGTCTGCAACATGTGTGGCATAAAGGAGGATTGGCAGACCAGGAGATACAGCATTTAAAGATATACATCATGGGTTCAACATATGGGACTGCTAATGACTAGCACGTGACTGTATGTTTAGCATAAAGTAATGAATCAATTAGCACGATAGGAAACCGTAACAAACAGCAGAACACATGAAAGAATGCATATGGGAGTGATTTGAGGCAGATGTTAACTCCGAGCCTTTGGATTCAGTAACAGTGCTCACGTTTGTACAGCCTATAGCTCTACAGGCTGCGGGACCTGTCCAGTCTCGTAAGTAAACTTGTAAAAAAAAAAAAATCAACACACCCCCCCTCCCCCCCTTTCCAGATGGATCAGCTCCCAAAACCAGGTGAGAGTGGCAACACTCAGCCAAACAGGAGGGCACAACTGCCTCTCTCCACCACACTGTGGAGTTAGGTTAGCTTAAACCAGTCATGTAACTACTGGATGTTTGATCCCTGTATACAGCCTCGAGCTTGCTCTGCCATAGGTTGGTTTATTTATTCAGGTGGCTAGATAACAAACCCAACATTTAACTTAACTCCAGAGCTGGTCAAGATTGGGGAGGTGGAGGGAGTGGTTCCTCCAGAGGTGGAACGAGATACGGGCTGTGGAGGAGCCGTTTCTGGCAGTGAAATGAGCAGCCAGCATGGCAAGAGAAGCTAGGGTCCCCAGGGTGGTGACAGTGGGCAGGGGGAAATGCCAATCTTGGAAGAAGCAGCAGCAAATAGCCCCCAGGCATGGATGTAGCTCTACTGGTATATCGATGTCTTACACACTCTATTTCTCTTTCCATATGGAAATAGCAGGGAGAGTATCTATAAATAACGTTTATCAATAAAACTTCACGAAAATTGGATGGATATTGTATAGCTTTTGTCACTGCAAAATTACAAGAAAGCCTGCAGGGGTAGTAAGGTCAACACAGGCATAGCTGGGAACCATAGACAAGCTTTTGGCACAGAACCCTTCTTCAGGTCTGAAATGTATGAAATAGATTTTTCAGAGACTAATTAGAACTGTAGGAGTCAGACCACCCCTGAAGGTAAAGGCAACAGGTTCCCACAAAGAAGGGATATTAGCGGAAGGGCAGGAGGAGAGAAAGAGAGGTTAAAAAACCTGCAGGTTTGCATACAAACCAACCTCTTCACAGGGCTTCTTCGGGGCGTAGGAAGAGTTCCCACCAGGCTGGGTCACCCGCTCCCTTTTTTGTCCTGTATTTTTCATTGGCTATTTTTTGGTCATACCTGCACATCATTTTGTTCTGCTGATTTGTCTTTCCATGCCATGTTTCTCCCCACTCTCACCTTCCACAGTCCCACAGGTGTTACTAGTCCTAGCAAGCAGATTTATTAATTAACTTCAGCTACAACCTAGCAACCTCTCACTTCTCAATTATTTTGTCAGGAACAACTAAGCAATGCAAAATAATGTAATCATCATTCTGACGATAGGAGTTGACTGGCAACCACTAGAAGCCCTCCATGGGAAGAAACAGGGTTTTTTGGGAGAATTCAGTAGCAGATAGTATTCCACAAAATCACAGTGGTAAGCCAAAAAATGTAAATAAGAAGCTGGAAACTACGTGGATAAGAGAACAAACTGACTTGGCAATAGCCCTCAGAGGAGTGCCTGATTCAGCTCCTCAGCCAGCAAGCGCGTACAATAAACATCAAAGCAGGCACGACGCACTAAGAAACAACAGCGGAACACGCTCTGAAATTATTGGTACACTCATAGTTTAATTTCACGTGAATCAAAACTGTGAGCCAAGGCTGAGGATCCTGTAATCTAGCAGCGCTCACCCACTCTATGAATGCTACAGCCTAAGTGCTGAGCTCAGTGGCCGCTCCGGACAGCCCGCTTAAATAAACTCCAACAGGGACATCAGCTTACATGGTACAATGATGAGGGATAAATTTGGAATGAAAAGGATAAGCTAAAGACAGCAGTAATTAAGTTAAAGATGCATATCAGTGTGTGGAATCAGATCATCAGATTAGATTTTTTGTCAGGGATTGCTGGAAAGACGCTTACAGAAATTGTTGGGTTTTTCAATTTTATTTTAATGCATAAGGGTGGTTTTGCGGTGTCCCTTTGCTTGGGGCTTGGCCTGGAGAAATAATAAACCACCACAAAAGAGAGCGGATCTCAGAATAAGGCAGCAAGTTCAGGTGCGTTTTGGATTATCAGCACGGAGCTGACGGGATCTGGGTTACGTGGGGGCCTGCGTTTTGGCACTGCAGCGGGCTGGGAACCCACAGCCGAGGCCACGGTTGCGGGACGCTCGCCACCTCCGGCGAAACGGGCGAGGCACAGATTGAAGAAACCCCCAACCCTGCCCCCGAGGAGAGGGACCCTCAGAAAACACCTCCTGCTCCAAACACAGGCG